CCCTGGCTCTCTCAACTCACCTCTACAGGGGATTCCTTCCACAAGCTTACTAGTCTTCCTCAAGAACAGTAACCAAGAAGAGAACAAGATTGTATGCATAATCAATTACTGAGCTATTATATATTATATAAATCATGGTAATTGATAATGTGAAAGTCAAAGATCACTAAGTTCCAGGGGTGAAGGGAAGGAAACTCCCATATCAGGTGACAGGGGTGTCATCACACCATTTAAATCTAACATGACACTGTTAGAGGTATTCCAATACTGTTTAAAGTATTAAGTTTGGTAAAAAAATATGATAGGAAGGCCTTTACAGGGTTGTAGCTAAGAAAATAGTCTCCTGGCTAAGATTTTCATTGAGGCCTTCACCAATTTTCGTAAGAGACCTGGAACAAAATTTAAATGTCCCAAATCATTTGCAACACTTTGAATGCCGGGCTACCAAGCTTCGCATTTACAAGATTGCAGACGCAGTACACATAAAAGGACACGATAAACAAGTGCTCAAAACAAGATTTATTTCAATTACTTTACTCATTATAGTGGCACCGATACCCAAGGTAGTTAGGAATTTATTCCAAACTTTTCATTTAGTTGATTTAAATGGTTGGATATGGTTCAGGTATTGAATGATTGTATGTGCGTAACGTAAAAACTGTTCGTTGTTCTTTACTAAGTGGTTGCCCGCCAAAATTCAGCTGGTGAATTTCACTGGCAGGCGTTGCTTAGTGACAATCCTGCCTTTATCCACATGGGTACCGTCATTTTTCAGGGCACAATAACCTTATTGGTTCTGGGATAACTCTAACAAATTATGGTCATTGCTTATTTTTATTTTATCTCTCATAATAGTCAGAACCAATCCACAAAAATGTGGAATCCCCCATGTAGAACCCCAGGGGTAAAGGATTTCCTGCTGTGTTTATAAAAGGGGACTTGGGTAATCCCTAGGCTCAATTTTCGCTGCTCTTTTGAGTCAGATCTACACTCCTTTCCTGAGCAGCTGCTGGTAATCGAGCCTAGATAGCCCCTGGCAGTGTTCATATGAGGGGACCATTAGGAAAAAAAGCTTCATTGAAACTCTAGAATTTGCCATGAAGCTTTTTATTTGAGCCTTAAAGACAATCAATCATGACCAACAATAATTATTTTCTGTCTACTTTATAGGCTTCACCAAAATCCACCAAACTAACAGCTGAAGAGAAAGAAACAGAACTTCAGCCCCTGAAAGAATCAGGCTGGACAGAAGTTGAGGGACGTGATGCTATTTACAAGGAGTTCAAATTCAAGAATTTCAACCAGGCTTTTGGTTTTATGACTCGTGTGGCTCTCATGTCTGAAAAAATGGATCATCATCCGGAATGGTTTAATGTGTACAGCCGAGTCCAGATAACCTTGTCAACCCATGACTGTGGGGGGCTGTCTGCAAAAGATGTCAAGCTGGCAAAATTTATGGAGAGAGCTGCAGGGTCTATGGGACAGTAATGGATAGTGGAAAATCAAATTTGTCATCAAGTAATGAACTTATTTAGTTGAAAAAGAAGGTGTAACCATTTTATTAACTCAAATACAATTTCCCTTTCAGAGTAAGAAGCAGATTTGAACTAGTGTTGAACTTTAAAAATATGTTGTGACTATGACAACTAGGACTACGAAATCAAGAGCACAGATGATGAATGAAGAGTTTATACAAAGTCTCTTGAAAGTGTTGAGTCTTAAAATCTTATTTCCTATTTCAAACTGAGATCTGGAGGAAGTATGCTAGTGTTTATTCTTGCCATGTGGCTTATGTACTGGAACATTAAAGACAGAGGTGAATAGAAGAAATGCAGCCTGGAAGAGGTGTGAGGAAGCCATGATAAGAATGAAAACAATTTATTTTTGAAACAAAATAGTCTCTCATTTTCTGTGGTAAGTAGCTCTCAGACAGTCAGGGGAACAATATCTTCTACTGGTCTTAGCAGCTTCGAAGTTGGTAGAAGTTTAAGGTCATTCCTTACATTT